CTGAAATTTTTATTTAGTCCAAAAATTTATATTACACATATTTTTAACAATTAAATCACCAATATATATATATATTGATTTTTAGGCTTTATAATATGAAAAAGCTTTGAAATTTAATAGAAATAACCTACTTGTAAACACAAATATTTAATTATTAAATTTATTATACTTGTATATAATATATTAATATTGTAAATATAATATTCTTATCAGCACGTTCAACTTGCATACTTTAAAGAGCATTAATCTTGGGCGACTTCTTAATATATTTGTATATTTAAATAAAGACGAAAAAAAGAAAAAAGTAAAATTTTTCAATATTAATAATTACAAGTAACAACAACTTATTCTTACTTGTTAAAATATTTTATAAAATATGTAATTTCATAATAATTTATGCCTTAAATATAAGGTAAAAATAGTATTTTATAATATAAATCGCCTACACCTCTAATAAAAATTAATGCATATTCTATTATTAATGCATTAATATATCTATATAAATTCATGTCTATTTAATTAAATGATTAATTGTTACTAAAGAATTATCCTGACACAAATTGAAAGGTCTTTATATTTAGTATAGTAGGACTATTTCTTGAAAATGCGCTCATTAATTAACTTAACTGTAAAGTGAGTCAATTTCAAAATCATATTAAATTCTTTTGAAATAATATTACTTTTTTAAATACGATTCAGAAGTCTAATATTTTAACTAACTAGTGAAAGTAATTGGACAAATAATCAACTATATTTAAGTCTATATTTCATATATGTAAATATATATTTACAGTTATAATATAAATTAATCATATTACTAAAAATAATGTATTATCTATAATTATATATAATTTTTGTTTCTTTTCGCTTCTTTTTTTTATATCTTTTTGAAAATTATATGGTACACATTTTTAAAAAATTGATAATTCTAAAAAGTTACAATTCTTTTTAAATTCATAACAATTTGATAGAAACATGTAGCGTATTATTATAAGGATTATATAAGTTCATATCCATTTTAATCAATTTATACTTATAACAAAAATTAAAATTAATCATACAGTATTAACTATATGTTTTCATTACAGTTTAGATCGATTAAAAAATTTATTATTATGATTTTTATTTTGTTTAATAAAGCCATTACAAAATTAGAATTAAAATACTTTCGAAAATAAAATTAATTATTAAGATTAAAAATTAAATCGAACAAATTAATATTTAGTAATCTAAATAAAAAGTTGTTAATATAACGCATTAAAGTAATATTGCAACTATAATATTTTTGACACAATGACGAGATCCCTGAATGGCGGGCGGTCCTCCCTTGGCAAAATGGCATACAACTCACCAAGGTGTCATCACCGCCATTAGCGCGAATCAAAAGAGGACCATCCCGATTACGTTCGATAATTGCTCTATCAAAATTTATTACGGTGGTCTCCTCAACAGGACACGCTTACGTTCACGACAGGAAGGGCATCGATGCAATTGGTGAACTCATATCTCTGGTGAACATATTCAAGCAAGAGCTATGGCTACACAAGCTCCACGGGACGAGACAATGCCATCTCAGCGTTCTGCACGGTGGCTGATAACTAGAAGGAATCTCGCCAACCCGACCGACCTTACATATCACGTGGCTCAACATAATGAGCACCTTACATAGAGAGCTACATGGATTGTCTGATGCATAACAATTGGCAATGTCGGCAGTCATGTACGTATCAGTGCACGAATAAAATAAAATGACTACATTAACGTGTTCAAGATCAAAGTGGCACCACTCAAGCCAACCAGAAATATAAAACTAGAGCTTGCTGCAGCATTACTCCTTCAAGTCTCACATAGTACGTCCACGCCACATGGAAGATGGACGTAAAGGCAATCCATCGCTGGACTGATTCACGGGTAACCCTCACATGGATAAAGTCCTATTCATCAAGATGAAAAAAATACGTGAAATACAGGGTTGCCAGCCTTTAAGACCGAACTTCAAATGCACGCTGGATATATTCCTAGAATATCGAATCCAGCAGACTGTGCACAACGCATATATGCAACACAAATTCCATAACATCCATTATGGTGGATCGGACCACCATGGATCAAATCATGAACCAAAATCATGACAATGCCAATCTACATTGGATGACAAACAATTTCAACGAGACCAAAGATCCGGTACAATATCATTGACGACGGAAACTTAATCAAATCATCACTGAGACATAATACAGACATTCATCGCTGGATAAATTAGTAAGAAGGACTTCCATTTATTTAAATTCATAAACCCGTTAAACAAAAAAAAAAAAAAAACATGAGCCGTCATTTACATTTCACATATCAAGGGAAGCTTTAAGAAAGAGCAAGGAATTTAAGGGTAATGGCAACACTCTTAAAGGCAGATTCTACAGAACTTCATGCGGATCAAGTTTTGCGCATCACACAAAAGATTGTAAGAAACATGCTCACTCAATTCAAGACACATCTTCTCCAGACACTCACTAGAATTACATTCCCAATTCATAAACTTGCCATGCTACCAATCCCTGAAAGATAAATTTCATCATCAACTAATTGATGATGGAGGGCGGAATGTTCGGGGTTGAAGCAGTTTAATCCGAATTTCAATTTGGGAAAGTTACAAGCTCTCGGACACTCTTGTTTGTAAACACGATTCAGCGACTCCGGGAATTTTACTACACCGTAAATTCTAATATACGACAATATTTTCGCATAGCAACACCGATGAAACTTCTAGAACCTTCCAAAGCTGTGTCCTTTGACGCTTCTAGAACATTCCAGAGTTTCGTTCTCTGACATTACGACGATTTTCGGCATAGCAACAAGCATCTGCGCTGTTGCCGGCATCGCAAGCTGCTACGCGAATATTTAAGAGCAGCGCGCCATGCACCGAACCACTATTCCTTTACCATCCTCTCAGTCGCCATGCACCTGTCTCACGGTGTTTTTACTATCAACTCAGATATGGCTCACTGTAATTCTACACCTCGTTCATTGATATGTTATTATAGGTAGTGCATTTCACATACTTATAGTATCAGTATCACTTGCGCCAGCACGAACTTCAACCGAAATCTCAGACAATCGATCTAAAAGGCATACGTGCGACATTCTAAGAATCTATTGCAACCAGAGTAGCAATCTAACTCTGAAGCCATTGGGATCATAATCAATAAGGTGCACCAGACACGCCTCCAAAACAGCAGACCTTGACGGTAGTTCATAAGGTACCTCCTCTTCATTATATTGTACAAATTTAATCACTCTCGCTCGAATCACGCCATGCATAAAACTTACAATAGTAACACAATACGCGCTCACAAGCCACACGGGGCTGAGACCGTACGTTCGCCTTCTACATGCACGTGCATTATCGAGGCTAGAGTTCAGCCAGTCAAGGTTGGCGACAAGTTCCTTCCGTCCTTGAAGGAATCATTTCTGATTCAACCTTCTTGCGTGTGACTTACACTCTAATATTCCCATTCTCCTTTGGAGTATGATGGAGCAAAATAACTACATCAGAGAATACCTTATCCACCCCTATTAAATATGTTTGCACTCTCTACGAATTCTTATTGATTAGAATTACCATCTTCCCATGCTCATGAAGAGCATGTTCGACTACTCATGTTGATCCTTACAACATCAGCATAAAACCGAAATTGAAAATCCACATAACCTCCATAGCATCAACGATAACCAAGAACACAAGGAAGCACCCGCAACATTGCAATAGAATAATTCTCTATCTCACTAGAAGCAACCAACAACGCTGCAATATTATTATAATTCATAACCAGAATAAACAATATCTACACTCAAAATACATTATATTTTTCAGCCCTTCCACTTGTGTCTTTTTTCCTCATAATCGCTATGGCGCGAGACCAATCCACTGAACTATTGAATTGACAGTTCAAGTCATAAAACAAACACTTAAATTCGAATAGCACATAAATGTATATATATACTTAATAACTGAAGAAAATAATTGTTTTAATATATTTTTAAATTATTTGTCTATTTATATAAATGTACACATTAGTTTCAATTATATTATATATTTCGAAACACACCTAGTGAATCCACATATTGGATTATCTAAATAATTATATAATGTACATGCATTAAAAAGAAATAGTCAATTTCTATTGTAAAGAAGGTAAATCACTCATTTTTATACATTTTTTCAGTGTTTAGAAGCTTTAATAGATGAATCTTGAATTTTTAAAAGATGTTTGAAAAATGTATTAAAGTGCAAATTGCATACAACTAATCGATCTATATTAAACGAACATTTTTATACATATAAATTTATATTGTAATGTTTTAATTGCACAGAAACTGAGTGTAATGAAAACAATCTTAATCTAGTTAAAATTTAAAAAACATTCCCATAGTTACCACTTTAATCATGGAATACAAACTTCAGTAATCTGTTATAACTGTATAGCCAGAGCGAACAATACTTAAAATCTTAAGAATGTAAATACCAATGGTAATTGAATAACGAATATTCATAGAGTACGTCAGTAAATTCGAATACAAAACAAAAATATATAAGGAAATTCTAAAGCTGTTAAAATCATAAAAATTCGTGTAATAAAAAGTACTTAAATTAGAAAATGAATAATTTAAAATATTTAAAAACATCAAATCTTCTTTATTTAAAAAAGAAAACAGTGAAAAAATATTTTCATTTAAATTCTATGAATTTAAAATTTTTATATTTCTTCTTATATTTTACGAGCAATATAATTTCACTCATCCATTTCAAAAGTGAAAACTGTAAATAAAACTTGTTTCAGTATTTATCTAATTTACCTATATGAGCAGGATGGTATGCAATATTTTTTATATTTCATTGCTCGAAAATTATTCTAAATTATTTGCATGTAAATATTACAAATTACATATATAAACTGCGATACTTTTTAATATCACCCAGCCAAAATAAATTATGCAGACTTTCATAAATTGTAATAATTAATCAGTTTTTCCATGAAATAAACTTTAACACTTTGATATTTATTTGTCCATCTTTCTTCAATCTAAGAATCACAATTCTTCGTATGATTGTTGATCTAAAATAGAATAACTTGCTCCTAAAAACCTAAAAATATATATACATATGAATCCCTTTTATAATAAAATCTAATGCACGAATAATATTATTAATACTAATGACCCTAATTTAGCGAAATAAATTTGTTTATTAATTAATAATTATGTAACATTTATGTATAGTTTATTTTATATTATAAAAATACATTAAAGTAAAATGCAAATTTTTGTTTAATTTATTATTAAATCTCCTCGTGCGTGTGCGTTTCTGTGAAAGTAAATAAATTAACTTCCAAGTAAGCAGAATTAGTCACATTGGTTTACATACACGAATTCAACATTAAAAATATTGAAATCGAGAAACGGAAATTCTTCAAATGTACTCTTTGTAATTTACCGAAAATTTGTAAAATATTTATGGAAAAAAACTGCTAGAACACTAAATATAAGTTATATACTACACATTTATATATACATACATGTGCAATTGATTTGAATTTATCATCAATAATAATTCTCGCTAATATATATATATATATATATATATACAATAATGTAATAGAATACATCAATATATATTTGCTCATCTAATGTAATTTTTTAAACGAAAATTAATAAATTATATTTAAAGTTAAAAATTTAATTTTTATATCAATAAATTTAAATAAACATAATTTTATACATACAACCAAATGTCCTTTACATAAATTTGGATAGAAACATTAGCAAAGATAGTAATGGAAGAAAGAGAATAAATGGAAAAATTTTTTGTGAATAAAAAAACAGTTTTTTTATTATTTTTCACTAGAATATTATTCTTAAAATATAATGAAAAATTAATTCTATTTATTTGTAAATGGCGAATTCTTTATATTTCTCTAATATATTACAATACAATGCAAGATTAATGTGTATACAACAATAACGCAAAAATTTCTAATTAAAACAGACTAAAAAGAAATCAATTTTTTGAAGATTGTTATTTTTGTCAAATAAAAAAATTTATTTTATTTGTAACTTTCATAATATTAACTTTACCTGTATTTATATATTACTATCAGTTACTTTACCAAAATGATAAAGAATGAATGTTCTATTAGTACTTATCGTAACATCTGAAATTAAACGTTTTCATGTTTTATATGTCCAAAATATATAATATAATATAATATAATATCCAATATACTAATAAACTATCTAGTAGCTGACAAATGATTTATTTTAATTAGAAACTAGAAAATACAATTTAATCCAGACAATAAAAAAATTAACTAAACTATGATAAAAAGACCATGCGTACACAGGTACACACACACAAACAAATACTTTTTTTTTAAATAATAAATAATATATGAAGAGTTCATGAATGTTTCAACTAAACTTTATATTATTAAAAGATACATATTTTGTTAAAGAGATTTAATTAATTTAATACAAAATATTATTATACATTTTATTTTAATTAAATTAAGAGCAATTATTTATTAGTACTTACAAACATGACTTAAATTATATCTTACTTAAGTTTTATTTGCAGCTACACTTTTACGACATTTTATTGACAATAGCTAAATGCAAGGATTGTAACTGTGTAGTCCACTTATCCAAGGCATTATAGCGAGCTGCACATACTGATTTCCTGTCTAATTCAAGAACTTGATTCACCTATAAATTTTGAGTCATAATTTCTTTTTATACAAAAAAATTACTATTTGGAATATATATATTTATATAATAGAATAATTTAGTAAACATAATTAGACATAATTTTATTAATAAATTAAAATTTTTAATATAATTTGATTTATTTTTTTTTTCATTTTACATTTTAAAATTAAACAAAAGAAATCCTATATACCTGATCAATGCGACCTCTAATTGTATTATCTAAAATACAAGATGCCAATAAACTTTCAACTTCAGATGCATCAATATTCAATTCTTTGCTAATAAAAGGAATATGGATTCTTGTATATGGTTTTATCAATTTTATAAGAACCTAAAAATTAATTATTATTTTATAATAGTTTATGATTTTATATAAAAAATATTTTTAATTTTTACTTGTGTTCTAATATTTCGTAATAAGTCTTCAATATGCTCTCTAATAAAAGGATCATCCATAATATTATTTCTATTCTGTTTTAAAATTAATTCAAATTGATTTATATCATTGTTTTGATAACTGATAACCAAATTTGTCATTGCTAAAATTTCTGGATCATTCTTATAAGGTTTTGCTTCTTGAGAATCAAATGGATTTATTCCTGATTTCATTAACCTATCAATTTTACAGATATATTTATTACAGACGGTTATTAGAAGTGTATTAAATATAATTGTTAATACTAACATATTTGCAAGAACTAAATACTTTAAACACGTAGTTCGACGAGGTGAACCAGACTCATCATAGTTTTTAAATGCTTCAAAAAAATCAGTATGTGCTCTTTCAAATTCTCCTTCTCTTAAATGCATCTTTCCTCCACATTCTATAGAAATTTTGTTTATTTTTATTTTATACTTGATAAAAACTAATAATATATGATAATTTACCTCGTATAACACCCATTATAAGTGGATGAGGAATTGCACTTTTAATATGAAGGCTTTGCTCATATAGAGTCTTTAACTTTTTATTATTTTTTTGAGCAGTATACATTTGAATTTCTAATGCATATATTTCTAATAATTGAGTTCCCTTTTTTAAATCATCTTCACCATCATCAGTCTTAAACAGTTATTAAAAAATTTTCATAAACATTTTAATTTAGTGCAACATAACCATATGTGTGAAAACATATATTACTTTACCTGACAACTTTGATGAAGTTGTTTCAATATCTTTGCTAGTTTATTAAAATCTGACCTATCAAAATACAATTTTCCTAATTTAGTATTGGTTTTGAACCACAACCTATCATTCTTTGCATCTTTTAAAGCATCCAATGTAGTTTCATAAAAGTCTTGAAGCAATTCCATCTACAAAAATTAATTGCAATATTTTTTACTTTGTGTTTGTTAGCAAAATAATAGTTTCAGTAAAAACTAACATTTTTTGATGTACTAATATAATCTAAAATTGAATTAATAGATTTTTCTGAATGATTTCTTGTTACAGCACTCTTTATGTACGTGAGTAACTGTTTATACCTAGTCATCATTTCCTTGTAATTACCCTATAATAAATAGTGTAAAATAAATATTATTATTAACAAATTTCTTATATTACTATGTTATTTATTAAATATATATGTATGTATATATATATATATATATATATATATATATATATAACTAATATATATCAGTTTTATTCCCTTACAAGTTTAAAGTTAATTTTAATCATCTGCTTAAGAGCTTTAAATCCCCATTCTCCTTTATCTCCTTCCAAATCCAAAACTTTTTGAAAACTCTGCAAGGCTGCTTTGGGATCATCTTCCTTTAAGGACTTACTGTTATAGTATTGATTCTCTAAATCGACATCAGGTTCTGAATTTGAATCTTCTGAATATTCCTAAATTTATAATCATGTTGTATATTATAAAATTTGTAAATACATATTTTATATTACTATATATATACTTATAATAAAAGAAATTCACAACCTAACCTAAAATCATTAATCATTATTACTCGATCTTCAGCATATTAAAAAAAAATAAACATGAAATATTTATTTACCAAACCATAATCTTCTTCTTCACACATAAAATCATCCTCCCCATCAGACATTTTCAATTACAATGACTTCAATCAAATAACAAAAATGAATTTATATTAAAATAAAAGTTGAAAACGACAATTTACTAATGAATACTATCCAATAAACACTTTCCAAGCTGTACTTAACCTTATTTCCTTTTTTTGTTTTGGTTCAAATATGTGTTTCCCAACTTGTAAAATAATAAAATGAAATATAATATTTAACCGAAACTTCTTTGACATACAGTATAAAACAATGTTTATAATAGAAAGTAATAACATTTGTACAAAACTAATTTCACTCAGCAGAACGCTACTAGAGCACCCATTTTTGTTACCTACTTGTGTAGTTTCATTCTCTATATTATTGCCTTCTCAACTAGCCGGAAAATTTTCGAATTAGATAATTAAAAAATATATAGGTTTATATTTTTTTATTAACATAACTGAATTATTAATGTTATAATTTTATTTAAGATAGTTTTTAAATTATCAAATTTTTAATCCTGAATTTAAATATTCATAACATTTTATATATAATTCAAATTAAAAAATTACTTAAAAGTAAATTATATTAATGTTATACAATTTGTACATTATTTAATATACTTTACATTTAAAAAAATATACTTTAACAATAACATATAGTACATGCCGGAACATTTTATACTTGCCGAACATGCACTTTCGTGTATAAATTGAACATACACTAATTTGTAAATGCATGAACATGCATTATCGTCGGTGAAGGCAAACATATATATTAAATTTAAAAAGTCTAATTATTATATATTATTATTATTATTAAATTAATTTTATTATTATTATTAAATTTAATTATTCAAAATAATAGTGATCTAATTTCTAATTAATTTAAAATAATTCAAATAACTATTCAAATAAATGATTAATATTTTATATGTTTAATATACAACTATACAGTGACTTAGAAATAATCGCATACATACATAAAATTAAGAATCAATAACTACTAGCTATATATATATATATTTATAAGGCAATTTTTATTAAAAATATTTATATCTATTTTATTACAAAAACGCTAAAATAAAAATCAATTCATTTTTTTATCTAACTGTTAATATTTCATTAATGATAAAAACAAATTAGTACACAAAATAAAAATATATGTATAATAAAAAGTATCTTAAATTATTTGGTTTAGTTAATATTTTTTCATTTATTTTCTTGATTATATAAAATTAAAATAATTTCATTATATTAATTTTAAATATTAATTTTTTTATTTAAAAAGATATAAAATAATCATTATTCCAAAATTCATTGACGATATATCAAAAACTAGCTTTTCAATAGCCAGTTTAAAGTTAGTGAAGTTAGTAATAGTAATAATTATAATAAATAAAACTACAAATTCAAAGGATTGGTAATTTTAAAGTAAAAGACATAGCATTTTTATTTATTTAAATATTTAAATATTCTTTGAATTATTAAAAATGTTAATTATTATTTGATTTTGTATAACATATTAAACTTGGCTTATTTATAATTTACTAAATGTAATTGCAGTATGCTTTACGTATTTAATAATTTCAACACTCATAGAATTTAAATCTAATGAGTTATTATAACCACGAAACAAAGCAAAAAGTTATAATTGATGCAGTCAGTATATCATATATTAATCTATTGATTATAGCATTTTCTACTATCAATAAACTTATGAATATAATTTTTATTAAAACATTTTTTTACATCTCCAGAGATGTAAATATTGAGTATTCTCATCCTCGCTTTGTTAGTAAAATTTTTATTTTTTTTTTCTGTTTTGTCAAATGGTATAAAAGGTGATTAGACAGGTGGCATGATTGTGGTAACTAGTTGTTAAAATAAAATGTAAATGCTTAATAATAAACATACAGTTATTTTATAAATACAAAGAAATAATTTAAGTCTATTTAAAAATATTATATCTTTTAATATTCAATAAATTTTAATTTTTCAAGCAACAATTTATTACTTGAACGCGAAATTAATAGATTAAACGATATATATAGTATACCTGAAAATGTTGCAAATAAAGAATATTACAAGGAAATAGTATGTAGTACAATATCTTAATAGTATGTATATAAATTATATTTATTAAAAAATTTTATATTTCCATTAGAAAGGTACCGTGTTTTTTACTTTATTACTTTTAATTTTTTTATTTTTAATTTTTTTATTTTTAATTTTTATTTTTACTAAATCAGTTGTATACTTTATAATAGAGTATAAAGTTAGTATAAATCACTTTCATGAAAAATAGATAAAAATTTTTTAAATATTATACATATATTTACAATATATGTATAAAAATATATGTATAAATATATGTATAAATAATATATAATATATTTATAATATATGTACAAATACAGTTATAAAAGTAGATCTTAATGTCTAAAAAATAAACGTTAACAATTTTATGCTCTATATTTTATATAAATGATATTGATATTTATTAAAATCAAATTACTTTGGCAGCAAAAATAAAAATACAGACAATTTTTGTAACTCATACTGAGAAAAATCTTTTATAAATAAAGAAATTCTTAATTGTGGTATTCTTATTTTAGAGCTGTTTTGCTATGCAAACCCTCATCCCCATATTCAATTTTATTTGTATCTCATTCACAAATCTATAACAAATACGATTACATAAAGCACTTATAGAAATTTATATTTTATAAAATTAATAAAAATGTGATAAAATTATATTTCTTATAGATTTCAGTATTCTGGAATTTACTAAAAAATATTAAAAACCATAATAAACTTATCACGATAAAAAATTGTTTTAATTAATGAGAAATTAAGTTTGTACATCAACGCGAAGAAAAATCATATACAAATTATGTATAATTGTTCAGGATTGAACTACCCAATAAAAAAATAAGAATTTATTGTTTGTTAAAATACGATTCCGATAAATCACATTTAGATTAAGGCGCAATATTCGAATTATACGTTACAAAAATTCACTGGAAATTTAGGCACGCACTTTGTCCGCATAGCAACAAAGGAAGCTTCTCGAAGTTATCAAAGCTTGCTTCCAGAGAATTCACTAAAGCCTCCAAGAATTTATAACACTAAATGTATGCAATCGTATTTAAGAAGCAACGAACGGAGAAGAAAACAGTCTTGTTGAATTACTCAGTGAAACTAGTGTCAGTAAAATCTTTGAAAGTCGAACTCGTCTGAAGGAATCCCTGCAAGGTATATTATTATTACTCTTCAAATGTTATTACCGCTGGCCAGCTATCAATATTATTTACATTGTCGCAAATCCCCGCCTAATTCTCGGGACCGTGATCCTGTCCATATCTATCATAATTATCGATAGAGCCCGGCCTAAAAACCCTCTGACTTGAGACAAACAAGAGAGGACGCCAATCCCAATAGTAGACCCCTACCTGAATCTCAATTAGTACTACGAGACAGTACCGGTCACACCACAATAAATTGGTTCTGATCAAACCACAAAGTGGCGACAGATTAGTAATAATCCCCACCACCGGTACAAGCCGAATATCACTCATTCAATTCACAAGTCGAGTCAAGCGTCTATCAGTCGCGAGCCGAAGCTCGCTTGATATTATTTGAGGATCACCGTAAGCGTCGAAGCTCCACGAGCCAACTAATGTCCAATGTGATTTAAGCACGACTCACACGATACATGACTATAAAATAAGACCCGAAATTGTTACCTAGCAAAGCTTGCATTCCCAGACGATGTTTCGACTTAATAATCAGCTGCCTAGTCACTACATTCAACAATTCTCACCATAATAAAGAATACCTACAATACTGTAATAACTACTTAAATAAAGGTCACTAAAACCAATTGTATTTACTCTGAGTTGATGCATTAACCTCTCACTTATCCCCCCTCCCCCCAACACCATTAAACCGGTGGTACGGTCTAATCCACCCACCGTGATCTGCGATCATATTGGTGGCTGGAATTCCAAACAATAATAATCTAAAAGTATTTAATGTAAGAAATAAACTTCATTTTCAATATCTTATAATATCAATTTTTTAGAAAATATTGTTTTTTACTCTATAAAATGTTTAAAAAGAAAAATGTTTTAACAAAATTATTTTATCATTCAAAATAGAAAAACAATTTTTAGTTTTCTATTATATCAGAAATTACAATTATACAATTTTTTATATATAGTAATATTTTAATCCTTTTTTATTTGGTAATAACGTGAAAACGAACGTAGTTCTTTTGTAAATGTATGCTACATCTATATCACTCAAAACTCATTAAACTTTACAAATATTTTGTGTACTAAAATAATAATATTCATAGTATTTTTATAGCATAATTTGCTATAAGAAAACAATATCACTGTTATAACGGCGATCATTTTACCAATCGTCATCCTTGAATCTTTGTAGACTGTCTTCTAGTCATTTATATATATATAACGATTATAGTAATAAATTAAAATTAGCCTAATACATTATCTCTATATGTAAATTATCTTTTTAACCTAAAACCTACTTACTAGTATTTACTTTTCTTGCAATTCATTAATAAAAGAAACAACATTCATTATCAAATATAAAAATCGATTTAACCACAGATTAAAAAAATGTGTTTTAAAAATTTGGCAATTATTATGGCATCTTTCTAAAATTATTAAATATAATAATTAATAAGACATTGCTATGTTAAAACAAGATTGTAGGTACATAAAGAGCATCGATACAAAATAGAATGTGTATGTGTTAAAATAATTTAAAAATATATTTAATCAAGTTATTTGATAAATATTAACAAATCCAATGTAACTATATTCTTTATTTTACATAACACATTAATATGGAAATAGTATCATACAAACAGTTAATGATTATTTAATAAAATTTATGAATTGCCTAGCTTAATTTTTTATGAATAACAAGTTTAAACGTACAAAAAATTAAGAATTTGATTGTCATATGTAATAAATAAATATTTTTCTTATCTCGCAACGTTGATTAAATATTGCTTTAGATTTATTATAACTTTATAGTTTATAGGAGAGTTTTATTACAAAAGCTAAATTAAATAGATCTATATTACTGTTTCGCAGTCCATATTTATTTTCACAAACATATGTTTCTTTCAATAATTATAATAAAAAATTTAAACTTGCATACAAATTCAAACAATTTACAAGATATACTTATATTTTCTATTTTCTTATTCAAGCGTACCTCTACATTGAACAAGACTTGATAATTTGTAGAAAAATGTATCTTTATATTATCATTACAATTTTAATAAAAATAATATGCCAA